ATCGAAGGTTGTGGTAGTCATATAATGATTGAAATTAAGTTATAATATATTAAAGTTATTGACGATTTTTAGGGTATCAAAGCTTCAATATGTTTTTAAAAGTTAAATTAGATTTTATTATATGTTAGATTTGAAATTAATATGTTAGTATGAGGTATAACCTTTTTAGAAAATATTTAGAATTATTTTTATATACGTTATTTTGGTACATTTTTAAATCTAGAAATAATACACTCAACATTTAAACAGTCATACTTATTTTTAATAATTTTATTGTTACTATTATTATTTTTTTTTTTACATAAAAATAATAGTTTGTACCAAATATCATTAACTTTAAATCTAAGATATTCATATTATAAGAATAAACTTATTTGTGAATATGCGATTAGTTAATGATTATTGACTAAATAAAATCATATCATGTTATCATAAAAAAAAAAAAAAAAAAATGAACTCGAATAGTAAGAAGTGAATTTTAAATAAAGTTATTCTTTTTGTGAAATAGTTAAAAGTAACTGAAGTTTAACTTGTTCGCTTGTTAAATTAATGTACAACCTTGCTTTTTATATTAAATTCCAAACGGTTTAAATTTGCACTCTCTTATTTTACATTTGCATAATATAATTTTGTAGTGTTTGTATATAAGCGCATATTATTTAACAATAGTCAAAATATAAAAATAAGAACCTTCACTACACAACAATTATATTTTTTTCTGTTTATTTGTGATTATCGAGTATCATCTATCTATTTTATTGTTTGCTTAAATACGAATTCTGAAACTAATTAGATGTATGTATGAGTTAATTCTTTTTTTGTTGTCTAATAATAGTAAATTTTAAGGAAAAAATATATTTATGATGCACGTTTATGTATAAACCTTATTGGCCGGTATTAATTGATGAAAGCGATAAGTGTTTTGCCTTTTCCTCAATAGTCTCTTAGTTAATGAAAAAAAAAAAAACAACTGATTGTTATTTTCAACATTTATTTAATTGATCAAAAAATTTTAACCTACTTTTAAATATTTATGATAACTGCAAAATTAAGCAAAATATAACGATTGACCGAGTTTAATTAATAACTAAAAAAAAAAAATGTTGAGAGATAATGTCAGTCAATCTTTCCGTGACGTCTTCTGTGTAAAACTAATAGACTGAAGTTTGAAGTTTGTTAATCAAGTATACGTGTTCTAAAAATTAATTAATATTTTCCTTGTAAATTATTCAGCAAGTGAATCAATTAATATATAAAGTAAGTTTCAGGAATAAATTGATTTGCGCAGATGTTTATTTTTTTATTTTCATAGTTAAATCATTATACACACGTATATATTTTAATATTATTATTATCTATCAAAAATAACGCTGTCAAGACAAAGAACTGACATAGGATTAAAAGTTTTCAAGCATTTTATCGTCATAGATTGCATCGATCGGTTGCGAGTTTGCGACGGGTGTAGTCAAACAAGTTTGACAGTATTTTGTTTTTGTTTATCGGGCTTATCTGATTTTTCGTGTGAATTCATCTTCAGTGTTTTTTTTTATTTTACACCTGATCAGTTTTACGAGTCAAGTTATTTTTTGATATTATTCGCACTCTATTTTATCATGACGTCAGAGACATACTCGAAAGCTTATTGAAATTAAAAACAATAATTTGCGCCTTCTGCATTTTATTTTAGACATAAAAAAAAAAAGAACATTGACAAGAAAATGCTACGCATAACAAAAGACTCGTAACAATGTATTTTAATTTATAAAAATTTGAAAAAATGTGTTCAATTTACATAATTTATGTATATTTTTACTTAAAAGTTACATTACGCTTAGTTAATAATCATAATACCACGTTAATTATATGACTTTACTAAAGTACATTATTAATAACATATATCATAATATAATATAGGAAATTTTTATAATATTTTAGTTTGAGTTATTTCTAAAAATATTATGTTTTAACAATAACATTATTCAAGAACTAACACTAATAATTTTTGCATAATTTTAAAACTTTTATCAATCTCTTTATTAAAATTATGGTTAACTTTTTAGTTTAAAAAGTAGAATTTTTATTATGGCTCTTTTATTAAAAAAACAATTATTTAAACATTTTTATACGAGTAATACATGCCTTTATTATTTTGATTGGAAAAATTTTAATTAAATGAGATTATTGATTTTAAAAATTTAAAAATTAATACACTTATTGTCAACAATATATATTATTTATAAACTGTATTCACAACATTTGTTAATTATTATTGGTTACGTTTTTAATACCAATCGTTTAGAGATAAAGATTTTAAAAATATTAAGTTTAGTTGATTTTTTTTTTAAATTTTATTTTAGAGAAATTTTATTATCTGTATACATTTTAGTACAATAGGTAAAAGGGATAAAAAATACACTGTGGCTTGTAGACGTGGGAGGAAAAACCAAATGATATAATGGCACTTTTACAAAAAAAAAAAAAAAGAAAAAATAATTTATGAAATAGAGCTATCTACTTGAAAAAAACAATAGAGCATTGTAATATCTGTACGTTATAATATGTATGATGTTGTCGTCACAATTATTATCGTATAATATATTACAATAATTATACAACCTCTTTTTTGAGTAGATACAATATACTCTTGAGTCCTCTTATCGCCGTACAAATCGAATTATAATGGTTTCTTGTGAATATTCCGTTAAATTTTTTTTTTTAATTTTCATGAATCATAAATAAGCATACTCCAAGATCAAAGCTTACGATTACTGTTATAATTACAGCGGGAAAGTAAACGTCAACCCTAACTCACGGATTACGATACGTGCGGGAAAGCGTTGTGAACAACACACGTTTCGCGAACGGAAATGAGACCTCAAACAGACTTTGCAGTTGTCGTCGCTGAGGGATTATCCGAGTTTTGATATTATTTAGGACGTTAATGCTTTTGATATCCCTGAAATTACTTGTGACGATAACATGCGATGACAATATCGCACTGAAACGCGACAGCTTAAGTATTATTATATTATCTTTAGTCACAAATACGAGCAACGCCATACTATTTGACGTGTACGACGTCAATACGTCATATATGAACTTCAAGTGAAATAAAATAATCTCTTATCGAAGTCCATTTTTTTTTTTTTTTTTTTTTTTTATCGAAGACTTGTATATAGTTGATATTTTTATCATATTACGGACGTTGATTCAATACATAAAAACGAACTGATTGTCTTAGAGATAAGTGATAACTATCATAGCATTTCAGTGTTAAATTTGAATCATCAAAATTAACTCTTTGAAATTAAAACATCACTTATAACTAGGGAGAAAAAATCATTGAAAAAATGATACTTCGCATAATACTTATAAATTATGTACAGACCCTTGAAAATGTATAGGACGGCATTTATTCAAATAGCATAATATCATCAATCATATTTGACTATTTGATAGGAATATAGTAACACGCAAAAACAAAATGATTATATTAACTAGGGACTGAATTTATATGCAAATTCATAATATATGTATTGGAATAAGGTTTTTGAAATCTAATGAAAATTATTCTCGATTTAGATCATTCTTATTAAAATAACACTAATTGTATTTTTCATATTATTTTGCATATTTCCACAGTCTTACTCATAAAATGCATATTTAATGCATAACAGTAGTTTTTATAGTGCATATTAATATTTATAGCACTTATATATTTTGTTTTTCGTCATATTTTCACGTTCACAGCCACATAATATCGATAAAATTACGACCGGCCGTTATTGTTGAAGTTAAGATGATTGCGCATATTATACTCGCATGTGCAACGCAAATAATAATATAATATACATATAATAATATATTATTATAGATCAATTTTTGTTTTATTTTTTTTGTATATCGATGTGGGCTAATGTTTTGTCAATTGGAGACAACATGGAATGTTAAATGGCGCAAAAACGACAAAATAATTTTTTTATTTTTTTAAGATCTTTCAATACCATATTTTTTTAACGATTGATCGATATTAATTTTTTCGTATGATTTCAAATAAAACGTGTTTGATTCAATTTTTAGCGAATATTATTCGATAACGCATCGCGCATATATTGTAGCATCACAATTATATCACAGCGTTTTTAGAAGCATAATACGCCTTTTGAGGATCTCTTTTCGTGCACTTAAATCCCCCCTCCCCGAACTAACGACACGATACACAGGCACTTAGCCGCACACGCGCGCGTACATTATTACTCTGCGACTATACTGACCTTAGATCATATACTATGGATGTAGCCACACTGTATAATATGCTTGTGTATTACATTTGAAGCCAAAATAACTGAAAAAGCTAGAGCCTTGTAGGTTATTACTGCGCACGCGTAAACGACTGATAATAAATTAATAATACGTTATCTGCACTTATCAGACTACGTAGTTTGAATAATTTTATATAATTGATAAACCAATCAGAATTACACGCATGCGCACAAAAAGTCGGGGCTCTAGCCTCTAGGTTATTCTGCAGGCTTCAAGAACCAGCCCGATGGCTACATCCATAGTATATGATCTAAGACATCGGTTCTCAATCTTCTTAGTACCGCGACCCAAATTTCCTCCGAAAAATCTTTAGTGACCCCCATATGGTTTCACTTTTCAATAAGTAGTTAAATAAAAAAAAAATGTAATTTAAAATAATTTAATAATAATAATAATAATATAATATAGTTTATTTCAATTTTTTTAACAAAATATGTTTTATAGGTTTAAAGTACGGGTCTATAATCGATATATTTTTACAAATGTACTTTTGTTAATGATAATCTGTTTAACATTAATTTAACATACATTCCTCGGAATCTGTGTAATTTAAAAAACTGTTCGCGACTCACCAAAAGTTGACCGACGGCCCGCCAGTGGGTCGCGACCCACAGTTTGAGAAACGCTGATCTGAGATACTAACCTGCGCGCGTTTACGCGCTATATACTGTTCGCAGGTGACCAACAACGACGCGGCGGCGATACAACAACCGCAACCGCAGCAACAGCCGCACGCGTCCCACCAGCAAGCGCAACAGGAACAGCAACAGCCGCACGCGGAACAGCAACAACAGCCGCAGCAGAGCGCCAACGCCAGCGCCCGGAGCCGAAAACGGTTGGCCAAAGTGCTGGTGGCGCTGGCCGGCGTGTTCGTCGCCTGTTGGCTGCCGTACGCGGCCGCGTTGCTGTACGCCAACTGGTTTTACTCGTCGTCGCCCCCGTCGGACGGCGACGGCGGCGACGGCGGCGCGCCGCCCGCCGTCCACCGGTTGGCCACCGTGGCCGCAATGCTGCTGGGCCATACCCATTCGGCCGTCAACCCCGTGGCCTACTGGTGGCTCAACCGGCACACGTTGCGCGCCTGCCCGTGGTGCTGGTGTTCGCTGGGCGACCAGTCCGACGACGACCGCGACCACGGCGACCGCGACACCGGGTGCGGCGGGGCGTTGGGGTGCATCGTCAGCGGGGCCGCGGCGGCGTTCGGCTGCGGCCGGGGCGACGGCAGTTGCGGCGGCAGCGGCGCCGCCGACTGCGGCGGGGGCGCGGGTTGCCGGCAGTCGCAAAACCACACGCCCACCAGGCTCAACCGGTTGCTGTTCCACCGACAGCCCAACAACCACCAGCGCAGCCGGCAACCGTCGTCCACCAACGAGGCGGCCCTGGGACCGTTCAACCCGCGGTTCGCCACCCCGAAGAAGCCACCCCAGCAGTTGCCCCCCGTCAAGAACCCCGTCATGCTGTATTACGCGTGAGGGTGCTTTTCCGCGCCCGTCGCATCCGGTCCGGTGGCGCATTTTTGGTAGCTGGGTAAGGGGGGGGCGGCGCCAAATCGTAAGTCTCTTAAAAGGTGCGCCGCTCTAGAAATCGAAATCATTTTCCAATCCCGACGGTACGCCTCCGGCCGGATTCGTAAATACGCCTCCGATTAGGCGTTTAGGTCCGCTATACCTCGCCCGCCTACGCGACCACGCTCGCCCCGCGGAAACGAAAAACGGGGAATCGCTAAGTCCTCGGGACTAGGGACGCGGACGATCGAACGACGCACGTGTGTGTGCATCCACACACACACACACATACACACACGTTTTCGCGACACTTCGGCCTAACCGAGCGGCTATCCGCGGGGGGTGCGACGGTACTCGTTTTCAGGTTCGTTTGTCGCGTGACCGATGTGACCGTGTACCGTAAACCTAACGCGTTACATCGTTTTATAATATGACGTCAACACGACGGCTACGACTACGCGCACGCGGAATTCGAAGGTCGTAATCCGATAACTTTGTCCGTCGTATTTTTAGACATAGGTACACGCTCCGGTACACACGCCGATACCGTGTCGAGTGGCACGAAGTCTGCCGTCCGCGAGTCCTTTGTAAGAGTACGTCGCGAATCCTGATCGGCAATAGTGTGTCCTAGGACAATGCGTTTATCGGGTCGTGTTTTTGTGCGTTTGTCCCGTGTTGTGGGCTCGGAAAAACGTTTCCGTTTCATTATTTCTGTCGCAAACAAACAAAACCACGCGACTTGTCTTGATATTCACATCTTAACCACTATAGTTCATTGTAGACTTTTTAGCGTGATAATAATACACATAACTATTATTAACCGTATTCTGTTATTAATAATACAAATTTTAAATGTGTTTTTACTATCGATATTTTCGATATTTATTCGTTTTTTGTGTATTCGTGTTAACTGTTTTTAAACTATATAATATATATTATATAGTGTTTGTGCATTATGTGAATTGTTGTTTTACAAAGTGTAAAACACTTCGATCAGTATATTGTATCTTAACGTAAATTTCAAATATTTTTATTGTATATTAATATTCGTAAGTTACAGATCAAACAAATATTATTATGATATTAACCATTTAATTTCGTCGTGTTACGATTATGGTCGGTTTGCAAATAAATTCATATTTTGCACGGAGTTACTTAAAAAGAATTTAAATAACGTGTAGTTTAGGTATAGTGTAATATTAATCAATTCGTTATCGACTAAAACCTTCTTTTTTTCCACAATGTTCTTTTGGTCGACGATACCAATATTATTGTTTTGATAACTCTCTGTTGGATAATAAGTAGGTACGTTAAATTGTCAAATAATCGAGTCTTTGTGCTCTTCTCCGTAAAATTCAATACAACGCATGCACAAAAATTTACAATTTTCACAGTGATTATTATTTGTTGATATTATTTTATAATTCGTTTAAAAACAAATCGTAAAAATTAGTCAAGTTCAATAAAAAAAAAAATAGCTGTCGGCTGGTAAAAAAAAAAAAATCGACATTTTTGGACGTGCATAACTGTGTTACTATTGCGATCGACTTAAACGGATAGTCAAGTCTACTTGGTTTACATTATAATACTGTTACATATGGAACAAATGTCAATTTATATTCGAACGGGAACACGAGTATAATTTGTCAATATACCTTCATCCGCGTGCTTTGCTGCATCCGCAACGACTTTATCTGACCGCGCTATAATAATATATCATGCGACGGATAGCGGACAGATATAAATAAAACATTTCCGTTTAAGCGATTTTTCTCGGACGGAGGAAATAAAAGCATCGACGTAAAAACACGTCGAATATAATATTATTCGTATCGAAAACGCGAAATCTTAGCCCGTTGTATTGCACAGTACAAATTATATTACCAACTGTGACAGGAGTAGTATTAATCTATAGACCAAGGAATCACATAACCGTTCCTTCTCGTGTATTCATAATCAATGATTAATCATCAAAGATCCCACGTATTTAGGATGTATCTTGTTAATCCGCATACCACCTCATACCTTCACTACTACAGGGTCCAATTATTATTATTACTACTATTATTATTACATAATATATTTTTTCGTTACTATATTTTATTGCTCTATACACTCGAATATTTCTGTGATATATTTAACTGTATCATTCGGTACTCGGTAGTACAACGTTTCAAACAATCATTTATCGCACTGACAGAAACAAAATAATACATTTCTAAAATAAAAATGCTCGTAAAAGTAATAATGTTTATGGTTTTTTGGACGTTTATTAATGCTATCATCCGTGACCCACGTCCATGGTGCCAATAATTTTTACCTGAAGTCTGTTATTATAGGTACCTAACTTTTCACCTTGACATTATAATATAATGGTTTAGTAATAATACAACGCAATAAGATACCCATTCGATAATTCTTTCAAATATTATATTTTACCTCTAAATTATATATGTATTGATCACTCTGAACATTTCACACATTATACATACGTATCGTACGTGATATCATAAAATAATGTTATAGTTTATTATATTATATGTGTTGTATATATATAGATACAAGTATATGATTTTTATTTCCATCTTCCTTGTTCTTTTTAATAATTTATTTCTTATATTATAATTATTAATCGCTGTACAATTTATTTTATACAAATATTACATAATATGTATGATAATGTTAATTATTAAAAATATATTATATTATATGTGTACTGAAACCGATGTGTTATTCTTAATATATTAGGTTACTTTGATAAGTTAATTGTTTTTTAATCGATACAATAAGCAAACAATAATTCAATACACTTAGGTAGGATTGCGCGTAGATTAGAGTGTATGATAATCATAATATGTTATAATATATCATACCGTTATTTAAAAACCAAATTTTTTATTTGAAAGTCAAACTTTGCTATTTATTAAGGGATAATTAGACAAAATAAAAATAAAAATAAATGTATATAATTATCTGTTCGAGGTATTAATAACTAATAACGTTAAAGCCGATGTAAATATATCATCAAATTATAAGCTACAGTGCAGACTACAGATATACTCACTTACGGGCTATGGCTCACCAAATGATTATATGCGAGCATGTGGCCCAAAATGAACTCATTGAATTGATGCAAAAATTAAAATTTCGAAACTTATATTATAAAATATAACAAAAACATTATAATCGTAAAGTGTGTTCGTATGCAATTGCGACGAGATTGATAATAATTATGACTTTAATATTTCCATTATTTATATTTTATAGCTAAACTGACCGTGGATCGTGTATCCACGTACGATAATATAATATGTATTATGAACGGTTAGTCACGTTACAAACGTGTAATAAGGTTGATGTAAGATACTTTTATTTATTTTATTTCAATTGTTAGTTACGTGAAACGTGCATATTTGTAGTTAAATATTTTAATATTTGCTGTGACATTATAGTATGAATATATTATCTAAAAATATCTTCGAAAAAAAAATAGTTTTAAATTATTTAACTGCCTTGTTCAATAAATTGAAAAGAAAACTTAGTAGTATGATTTGGTATGTTCTGAAACCTGATCCTGATCTCCCGCACTTGTCGTCACCCCCTCACCATCAATGACTGGTGTGACGTACATTTACCCCGCACTTGCCTGATCCCCTTCACCCCTCACCCAATGACCGGTGTGACGTACATTTACCCCCCACGCATGTACAATAATATGGCGCACGTACAATAATAAGTGTATGGTGGTAGGTGGGGGTAGACAGATGGCGGGGTAAATGTACGTCACACCGGTCATTTTTTGAGGGGGAAGGGGATCAGGCAAGTGCGGGGTAAATACGTCACACCGGTCATTGAGGATAAGTAGGTGACGGCAAGTGCGGGAGATCAGGATCAGGTTTCAGAACATACCAAATCATACTACTAAACTTAAGTATTTAAGAGGTATAAATAATTGTTTTTACTGATAAAAAATCCTTGGCACTCAGAAAAAACAAGTATTTAATAATTAATTGCATTGATTATATATGATTATTTAGAACTATTTGATGAATTTATTGAATTGAAAAAATGATAAAAATTTAAAAGTTATTTAAAAAAAAAAAAAAAAACAAAACAAAATTAATATGTTGAATATTGGAATTTATTGTCTGGAAAATTCAAAACAATATAAGATTATACCCACTTGTTGTTAAAATCAACATATATGTGTAAAACTTCTCATATTCAAAGATGAAATATGCAAAAAACGCGTATAAAAGTCGGCTTACCTATACACATCTTGAAAACTTGTTAAGAATAGAAAGCAGCAGCAGCTATAAAATATGTGGTGTATCCAAAATAGTAAATAAAATGTCTTAATATTAATTATCATATCAAATGTATTCTTAATTTTTTTTTTTTTTTTTTTTGTATCTCTCCTTTCCCGTTCATTTTGACCAGCGATCAGCTTAATATTTTAAAATGATTTATGTGGTCCGAACAAAACAAATTTTAAGTATGGCTGCTCTAGTGCGATTCCAAATAATTTACCATAAATACTTGTTTAGATCGTGTAGTTAAAAACTGAAATCATAATTTCTTGTATCTAGCCATTCTAGTCTATCTAGGTACTATTTACTAAACTACAATACCAGATGGGAGAAATATATTGGCTTTACGGTACGTATTTTATGCATGAGTATAATCATTGCTTAATTATAATAACATACTTTAAAAGGTTTGATAAGAAGACGTAGGTGTTCGTTTAAATGATTAACTGGATCAGTTTTTACCTATTTAAAAATAATAATGTTAATAATAATAAAAATAATAATAATAATAATAATACTATCATAATAATATTTCGATTAGTTTTGCTGATTCGTTTAGGAAATATTTTTGTTTTTATTATTTAACTGATTTATTTTAAGTGAGATCAAGCTTATTTATTTATTTATTTATTTATAACTTTACTCGACGAATTATAACAATATAAGAATACGAACAAGCATAGTATCAGAAAAACTTTAGTCATTTAGCTAATTACTAAAATTAATGAATAATATTTAAACAAGAAAAGTAAATTCTTCGTTTGTAAGCAACATTATATATTGTGTAAAGAGAGAGTATAATAAATACAGAGAATGAAAAAATGGAACAGAAAAATTAGAATCTTATCTGGTGACGGAAAACTCTGAAATTCGTTTTTATTCAATTGTCATTTATTGAAATATCAAAAAGTTATTTGCCATAGTACATAATCCTCTTAGAATAATAATACATTTTGATTGGTGCATAATTAAATATAATCACGTCGAATTAATTTAGATTATTATTAAAACATTTTATTTTGTTTAAATATTTGATACACAAATTTGTTTTGTTTTTACCTACGTAGAAAACGTACCTGTGGTACGTGTACGTTTATAGGGCTGGGCTAAATTAACAATTGTTCAATGCCTCTTATCTAACATATTAATTTTATAAATACAAGTAAGCTGAGTAGTTACTCTAAAGTCTATATGGTTAGCGCTTAATCATAACATGTGTAACACGAAGATATATTTGTATAGCATACATTTCATGTTCATAATTACCTTCAAAGTTACGCGTTGTACGTGATATCATCGATAGATCTAATATGTAAGTGTAAATGTATACTTATTCCAATAAAGAAGCTACATCTTTATGCGAGTTTACTGATTTCATATAGTAATTTAAAAAGTCAATGAATTTTAGTATTTAATCTTATTATTTACCTCTTAAGGAAACGATCCAGTAAAAACCTTTTTAAGATGTTATAATTTTTATACTGTACACATTTTATTAGTAATAATATAGTTTTTA